TCTAAAACTCACACTTGACCTCAAGTGGAATTCCTATATATGATTCATCACTAAAGGTGCAGGTAAAATGATTGACTCCTTGTATGACTCTAGTAAGTCCCTGACTCCTCTTGCTATTACACTACAACCTCTCTCTTACAGCAGGGATGTGACGAGTCTCTTACTGTCACTTCTACAATGGAAAGTGCTTGGATAAACTGCATCTCCTGGTTCCACCGGGTCTGACCTTCATGGTTAGGACCTGCCATGCCACTTACATCCTCATTCCCTCTATCTTCCATCAGTGAGAAGTAAGTTCCACTCAAACAGCTTCTTCCTGTGAGTCACTGCCCTATAGAACAGACTCTTGGGCCTTGTAAAGGGTGATCCTTACTGTAAAAAAAAGAAAAGAAAAAAGAACAATTTTATGGAAAAACAATAACAAAGTGGATAAGGTTTTTGTGTGATCTATTTTTGTCTTTTAGGGTTTTATTGGATGAAAGTGATATTTATATTAATGTGACAACACGTGCACAAAAGAAAGGGGATAGAATTTACTAAAATGAAAATGTTTAGAAAGTGCTTTAATCACTAGATCATTCACAATAAATTAACATCCTGGTTCTTACAAGATTTCAAGTTTCTTGGCAGATCTTCTATTATCACAATGTGCAATATTTGATAACAAAAGTGATGGAAGCATGAACAAAAAGAAAAGAATCTAAATGAAATTGGATAGACTATATACTCAAAACATATATATTTAAAAAAAATTTAATTTAAAATTCTCTGCATCCGCTTTCCATTGTGTGCATGTATAGTTACATTGATGTAAACAATGCTTTAGCCCTAAAGGACAAAATTTGTCACACAAACTTATTTTTTCACTTTTTCATAGTTTTTTTCCTATGTTATGAATTTGCAATATATAGAAATATGAAACCCAGCTTCAAAAAAAAAAAAAAAAAAAAAAAAAAAAAAAAAAAGAAAAAAAAAGAAAATGTGGGTTTGCTCAGATAGGAATGTATGACCAGGTGTCAATGAACAACAAACACAAAATGAACATTTATAAACAATTTTATATAACAAAAAGAAACTACAAAATATGGGAAGAGTATTGGATGAAAGATGTAAAACCAATAAATGACACTTATCTGATACTGGGTGTTGCTTCAAGCATTTGTATTTGAAGAATTTGTAATTTCAAATGTTCATAATAGCAAAATGCAAAATCCACTGCAAAATGTCCAAATAAAAGTCAGTCGTCTCAGGTAATTGAATTGCATCCAAAATGAAATTAGAATGATTTCTTTGATTGTAATATTCCTTCATATTTTTGGGGGTATAATATTCCTTTATTTTCTAAATATCAAGTAGTTGCATAAACCCACAGTCTTTGAGAATAATATACTTTTTATTTACTACACATCAAGTAGTTAAATAAATCCAAGATTTTGGGATGATATTTGTTTATCTTTTACACAACAAGTAATGGAATAAGTTCATGGGTGCATCTCTCATAAGAGGTTGCTGAGAGTCGATTTTCTTGTAATCTGTCGCAGTCAGAGATTATTGGGAAACTGAAATTACAATACCAAAAATCCCACGTATATCATATGAATTTGGGTGACCGACTTTTACTCACTTTCTTAGGAAGTCACTCTGTCTGTTGTCAAGCAACTTAAATTCTTTCCCACCATTTTTCAGACAAGATAAGTCTCAGTCTAGACAGGAAATAAAAATGAAAGAAGGAAAGAAGGAAGAAAGAAGAAACACAAAGTAGAATTATTATTATTATTATTTCCTTGGATTTCTATTGTGTACTCATTTTCTTCTGGATCCCAACCATAGATCTATTGTCAGAAATGGTTTCATGAGATTTTCCACTGATCACTTTTGTAAAAAACACAACCTAAGAACACACACATTTTATGTAGACAAAGCTCTTCGTAATGTGTAAGCTGTACTTGTGAGTATAATTTTTTGAATTTCTTTAATCCCTTCAATGAATTTATTGAACCTTTTCTAATCAATCAGAGGGCTCCAACTGCAACTGTAATTATTGATGTTGTCATATTATTATTATTATTATTATTATTATTGATTATTATTATTATTATCATTATCATCATCATATTATAGATACTATTTAACAGCATCTTGTGTTTCAGATGTTGCAATAGTGAATAAAAGAGTTGAGATTCTGGTATTTTTTTAGGTATTTTCAACTGGGCTTCAAATTCACTGAAGCTTCTTATAGAATTTGTAAAGTAAAAGAAAAGACATAAAGAAACAAGAACACATGACCCAAAACTAGTATAAGTATTTTAAGTGCAGTGATTTGTCCTTTGAAATAAAGACTGTCAGTGAACTGTTATCAGTTGTCAATTGTGATGATTTTAAAACAAATGATAGAGAAAAACTTGATTGCCAGCATTTCAAAACTTTTCTGAAAGTTTAGGATCATCAAAAGATAGCAAATGGAAAGCAATATATAAGCTTCTAAAAGTACTGAGAGGTTTTCAAGAGGATTAAAAAAAATGGAAATACTTTTGATACACTAATATTTTTGTTTTATTATAACAATTTAATATTTCTCTATGTTGTCCCCACTTCTTACCACCTTTCGTTGGGCACTTTGATGTGGTGTAATGGTCAGCAAGGTTGTCTTGTTAGACTAATTATGATTGAGTAATGAGTATATTCTCACTGGGTGCTCCATACGTTCAGCCTTGTGCCACATCTAAGCTACACTTAGTATGGACACTTTGATGTGATGTAATGATTAGCAAGCTTGTCTTGCTAAACCAATTGTGACTGAGTAGTGAGTTTGATTCTCACTGGGTGCTCCATAATTTTGGCCTTGCTCCACATCTAAGTTACAATTAGTAAATACTTCAATGTGGTTTAATGATTAGCAAGCTTATCTTGCTAGATCAATTACGACTGAATAGTGAGTTTGATCCTAACTTGGTACTCCATACTTTCTGTCTTGAGCTAAATCTAATTGATTCATTTTTTATGGCTTATTGTTATGGTAATTTATCTATACACACACGGACTTTCCCAGCTATAAATAGGAGCAGGTACTGCCTTTTGGAGAGGGAAGTTTCCAGCAGTCAGCTCTGACAGTCAGACCGAACATTCTTGCTGTAACACTCTTGTTTGTATATGTTTGTATTACAGTTTCTGTTAATATATTTGTTTAACTCAATTCCTCTCTTTGTGTCTTTATTTTTGGCCCTAACAAGGCAACAACACTTATCAATCCTTTTGCATATTATTTAAAGCCAGAAAATACTTTTTTTAAGAATTTTTTTGGGAGATAATAATAATTTAGTGATACAAGTCTTACTAATTAACCCGTATCTGGTAAGGAAAAGAGGTGGATTCATACCTTTCCCAAGGGTATTTGCTCCATCTAAGCTATGCTTATAAAATCATTCACAGTATTGCCATTAAACCCACTTTAAACCTTGGCCTTGTGTCACATTCAGTAGTGACATGGCTGCACTGGAAAATCCACTTACCACCTTCTTTTCTATTCATACTACACACATTGTTCATCATTACCATTTTTACTGTAGCCCTCTACCTAGAGTGGTTCTCATGTATTTTATTGACTGATATTTAGTAGAAAAATATACCAGAGACAAGTTGTTGAATCAAAAGGACTTTTAATTGTCTTTCCATATAATTAATGAATTGTTTTCATTGTTTACTATAATTTCTGATTTCTTCAATATTAATAACTTAGAAAGGGCTTCTTAAGCTGGGGTTTGTGGACCACTAAGAGGGTTTCAAGGTGTCCTTGAGGGTCAGATAAAAATTAACATTCATATTAACTATACAGCTCTTGTCCCAATCAACGGTTTCCCATTAAAATAAATAAAAGAAAATCCACCCTGCTACTGCTTGAAAGAATATGCACCCAGCCGTTACTTTACAGTGCCGACTGCTAGGCATCTCTTGACTTGTTGAGTTCATATTTACCATTTAAATGTGTGTCATCATTCTCTGCATGTACCATCTTTTGCCACTCCTTAAGAGCAAGTTATAATTATCATTTTCCATGTTTTATCATGGACTTCTCATATACGGGTGAGGATTAATTGACCACAATTTATTTTAAGGATGGCTGGTTGAAAAGTGCAGTGAGCACAAGGGTGCAGTATGAAGAAATGAACGTACAAATGTTGTGAAAAACCAATCAGACTGTGAATATCTACTTGTCTGTTTATCTGTCTATAAAAGACTAGTTCTTATAGGGGTCCGTGACTAAAGGGGTTAAAAACCACAGTCTTAGAATAAAATTTATGATTTGCTGCCAGGTTAGAATAAAGCTACTTTTTTGTTTGTTTGTTTTGTTTTATGGCATACAAAACTCAATAGGTTATTTAATGCCGACCAGATTTTTATTGCTGGTAATAATTTTTTTGAAAATGTATTGCTGCTAATATTCTTTTTCCAAAAATGTATTGATGGTAATATTTTTACTTCGAAAATGTATTGCTGATAGTATCTTTTTCTTTGCTGGTAATAATTTTTTACAAAAAAGCATTGCTAGCATTAAAACTTATTTTTACACTTTCATAGTGTTTTGACCTCAGTTTGCCCGGGGGGGTTGTTCAAGTATTTGCCTATAACTGGAACCCTAACAGGTGCTACCACCCTGGATCAGGGTGGACCCAGGAACACCAGCAATTAAGAGGTGGTTCCATGCTCCTCAAAACCTGATCAGAGGCCTTGCTGTTGGATGTAGTTTATTGTCTTACCCAGGACACGGATGTAGTTTATTGTCTTATCCAGGATGTGAATAAAACTGGTATCTCTTAATAATACATAAATTTTTGTATTTATGTTTTTAATAAGCTGGTAACATAGAATAGACAGTTTTGATCATGTTTTTGCTAATCATTTCTGTATTAAATTTTTAGTATCTATTTTAAAAGATTGAATTATATTCCCTTTTTAATTAATTATCAGTCATTAAAAACTATATTCTTTCTTTTTTATTTTAGAAATATGGGTTGAAGATCTTTTTGAGAGATCCAAGTGCTTATACTCCATTACTCAATCCAGGTGGCCTGAATCAAAAGACTGTTTCTCTTACACTGGGAAGAGATGCAGATCAAAACAGGAAACAGATTGCTCAGTTTTCCACCAATGATGCTGAAGTAAATGTGCCTTTAAACTATGTTTTCTAAAAATATAATTTATATAGATTTAATGCAACAAATAATATTTAGTTCTTTTTTTGTTTTAATGAAAAGAGAAAAAAACACTTTTTAAAAACTATATTATCTGAATATGGAATTAAATATCTGTCTATATTTCTGAGATCAGATATTGTAACTATTTACACTATTTAGATTGTTCAGACTGTTGTCCTCATCTTTGCTGTCATATTCATGATGTTTCAGCCATTGTAAGCCCTGGTTTTCTTTAGCATCTGTCTATATTTCTGAGATCAGGTATTGTATCTATTTACACTATTTGCATTGCTTGGACTGTTGTCCTCATTTTTATTGCCATATTCAAAATGTGATATACATTGGCCAGTTTATCTACAACTTCAAAAATATGCTCTAAGAACAAAAGAATTATATCAGTGTTATCTTTTTTTGTTCAGTAAGAACGTTTTGTTTTTGAAGATCCTTTTGAAACCTAAAATCATATTGTATTCATTTCAGAAATTTGAAGAATATGAACATCAACTGGCAAGGATTGTAGCTGCTTTAGAACCATTAATTGACAATCCTCCACTTCATTTGCATACAATTAACAAAGGTGGCTTTGGTAATCTGGTTAAATCATGGCCTTCACTGAAGACACTGGGAAGTTCAGGTAAATAATGAGTATGAAAAATATTCAACGACTAAAATTGAACACTCAGGGTCAAATGTTATATATATATATATATATATATATATATATATATATATATATATATATATATATATATATATATAGCATTTGGCATATATATATATATATATATATATATATATATATATATATATATATATATATATATATATATTGTGTGTGTATTTAGGCAGCATCTTTTCATTCATACATGTTTCATTGAATAATATAGACAAGTGTTGTCTATTTATTTTATGTAAATTTTTTTCATAACATCTGATAAGTTTAATAACATTATTGCTGAACGAAGAAAGAAATTCACAATATTGATCCATATTTTTTTAATACAATCTAAGCTTTCGGCTTACTTAAGCCATTATCAAAGATGTCAATTACAACATATTAAGCAATATACGAACAAGACAGTGATGATAGTCTGTCAATGTTTACATAGATGATTTCTAAGCAACGATAAACACATGCATATAAGATGCTAGAAGCGAAAATCGCACCGCATCTCATGATGTCACACATGAACACACGAGAGTGAATTGGAGAAGTATGAAATATGGAAAGCCGTTGGTATAAACCAATGGCTTCTGTTACCAATTATAGACATTTAAGAATATTTGTAGAGATGCCATAATTGATTTTGTTTAGGTTGGGTTTCAACTGTTTGATGTATAATGCTTCAAGGATTTTTAGTTTTTGTCTATTGTTTTCATGTCGAAGTATAATTGTGTTTTTGACAAGCATTTTATGGAATTGTGTGTGCGGGCAGGCATGTTAGTTTTCATTCAAATGTAGTGTCAAGCATCGTGAAAGTGTGTTTGTGGTGTGACCAACATAAATATTATTTAATTCATTGGAGATACACTCTCCCAAAGGGCACTTGAATTTATAAACTATGTTGGTTTTTTGCAATAATAATAAAATCCCCTTCCTTGACATATTGATAAACACAAATAATAACATATTTACTATTTCACCATACAAAAAACCTACAAGCATAAATTCAGGTACACTTAACTACAAGAGCGAATGCCCATATTACTACAAAATAGCAATTATAAAGAATCTAATACATCGTGCAGAAACTAATTCATCTACAAAACAAATTTTTTTACAGTGAACTAAAGAATATAAAACAGACACTTATTAATAATAGCTTTCCAAACTATATAGTTGATGAACAAATAAGATGCTTTCTTAGAAATCTCAATACTAAGCAAATTGTACATAATACTGCTTCTACCGATCTCAAACATATTAATCTCCTATATTGTAATCAAATGCATACTAATTATAAACAAGATGAAAATATACTAAAAAATTTAGTAAATTCTAATATATCAACTACAGATTCTAGCAAAAAATTAAATTAATCATATACTACACTAAATCTAGTATATCCAACTTAATTCTTCACAATGATTCTTCTGCCCCGGTTGGCGATTTGCAAAAAACCAACATAGTTTATAAATTCAATATATATATATCCAAAAAATCTCAACTGTTTTTCTCTGATTGTGAGTTTTCTTGTTGTTTCTACTTTCCTTAAGACTTCCTTGTTGTTCACATGTTCTGTCCATGGCATTCTTAGTATATTCTGTAGAACTGCATCATTGTCACTTCAAGTCTCCTTTTCATCTGTGTCCAGCATTCACTGATATTATATAACAGTTCAGAACTCTTTTCTTTTTTTCTAAATGATATTTTCCCATATCTTAATACTTTGCTTATTTTCTTAAAGACATCTTTCACTATTACCATGTATCTTTCGATTTCTCTGTAACATTTTCTGTTTTATGTTACTACATTATCCAGAGAGTTACATTTTTGTGCCTGCTTGATTTTGACATCACCAATATATAGCTCACACCTTGCAATCACTATTTTATTGATGACTATACACTCTGTCTTCTTATAGTCAATAGTTAGTCCTTTCATTTTGCTATCCATTATGTAACTGTTTTTTAATTTCCTTTCTGAGTCTTCCATCAGCACAGTGTCATTTGTGTGTTTTATGCTAAGATTATGACCATTGATTATAAATCATGGTAAGTCTATTAGTTCTCTTCGGATTGCTTCATTATATAGGTTGAATAAATTCAGTTAGAAAATGTGATGCTATTCTATTTCTCTTTTCTTTGAACTCATTCTTTAACTACCTGTAGGCTGTTTATTCTCATAATTGACTAATGAAAAAGGTCCACACTTCATACTGATGTTATCCTTTTATTTAAGAAATACACTGTAAAAACTAGAAACAATTATATATCTCTCAAAAGGGGAATGGACAAACAAAATATATTTCAAAGAAAATGTACAAACAATGAAAACATTTTTCCAACAGAAACATTAACAGTTTGAAACAAACTCAAAAAAATTATAAAGGGACACATGGTATCTTAGAGGAAAATTTCAGACTTAATAGTAGAGAGCATATAATTACTGTGTTGCTTTTCTGACCAGCAGCAGTTAAAGAACATGTGGTAGTTTCCTTACTTCTAATGGATCATGTGATAGCAGACTTACAGAAATGACAGCTAAACACATGTATGCATGTGCAATATTTCAGATATGTTACATTAAGTAAATGGTGACAGAGCAAAGAAAAAACAATGACAGTTTGAAAAAATAAACAATTATATTAACAGAAAATGAAAAAAAATAATAAATCGGTGTAAATGTCTTTCATTGAAAAAAGGAGATAAGTGGAGTTGTAAAAGATGTCTGCAGAGACATATGGAAGTGGAGGGAGGATGAGTTGTGACTTACTGGGGTGATGACCTTTGGTGAGCTGTCTCTTACAGATAGCAGGTTGCTTTCTGACGAAGTCTGTGAACCCAGGTCAAGATACTGTCCAAATGCCAAAAAATGTCCCTTTGATTGGTATTTATGTCCTTTCTTATGCTCAAATCAGCTCTGGTTTTTATTTTGTTTCTTTAGGCAGGAGTATGTGCTATTGGGTAGAAATTCTAGATTGTATTGCTTATTTTTATCTTTGAGTGTGTCAGTAAAAAAGGAAAATATGTGTGGAGTGTTGCGCAGTTGACAGAATTTTAGTTACGTTTTGGGTGTTTGGAGCATTCACATCCAGCCAGTGGTGGAAATTAGTATTGCATGAATCAGAAAAGAGATCTGGTTTTAGGAAGAATGAAAAAGATATAACTAAAAATATATCTATAAAAGGACAATATAAGTAAAGACAAAAGAAAGACTTATCTTAGCTGAAATGTTTCATCCTCTGATTGACTTTATCAAGGCAAATGTAAGAACAACAGGTATTTATAAAGAAAAGTAAAAATGTTAGTTTTTCAAAATTTTTAAACATTCATAAATATTCATCAGGTTAACTGAAAAGTCTAAGTAAATTATGAGTGATTATATATGATGTCATTTAATATCTAATAAACAAAAGTGATTAAATGATTTTGTTGAATTTTTTTTATGTAATTAATAGTCCTATTGTTTTAGTTTAGAATTTATAAGAGTTTCTTAAATTTTAAAATTTTGAAAAATTAACAACATTTTTAGTTTTATCTATAAATACTTACAAAATAAAATCCTTACATTTGCCTTAATAAAGTCCATCAAAGAACAAAATGTGATGGCTAAGATAAATTTTACTTTTGTCTTTATTCCTGTGTATGTATATATATGGCTGGGGCCATTTTATCACTGCTGACTCAACACTGGACAACTGGTATTGGCTGTCATAGTCTGCACATCTCTTAGATAGACTTTGAGTTGTAAAGATTTTGAAAGTTTGGCTAAAACCAAGATGTATTTTTAAAGCAATTAATTGGAAATCATCCTCCTCCCACTAAATTGAAGAAGTATATGAAAGCAGATTCTTTTTCACAACAATCTCCAACTGAATATATGAGGGGAATTGCATACAATTTTCAATAAATTTTTAAATTAAAAATAAAGTCATGTATCAAAAAATGATCCTTAATAAATTACTTTTATTTGGTTTCAAAAAATTATGTTTTAAAAATGATCCTTAATAAATTACTTTTATTTGTTTATGCACATGATTTATAATATAATATAATATATTATTCATAATATAAATACAGTGTCAAATTGATCCATCCTTGACTTCTGAAAGAGTTATCAGAACTTTGTTTTTATTTACAAATGTCAAGTTTGAGACTGTGCTTACATCATTGTTAACTTCATACTATTGTGAAATGAGGAACAGGACGACATTAGTAGTCTGCAGTTATCAATGACATAAGCACAATTTCAAATTTGACTTTTTAAATAAAAACAAAGTACAGATAACTCTTTATAAAGTCAGGGATCAATTTGACACTGTATTTATAATGTTAACAGGAGCCTCTTTCTAAAATTAGAAAAAATAAATATTTTTTGATTCTGAGAAATATTGTGGCTTGAGAAACATCTGATGAATGCTTATCTGCAAAAATGATTCCCTGTAAAAATTATTTGTTTTTTTTTTATGAGTAGGCCAATCAATTTAAGTAGTGCCAGAAATGCTATAAAAAAATAATACTAAACACATAAGTACATTGGCAGGAATATTATTAACACCTGTTCAAAAGACTAATAAAATTGTTTTTATCTTTTTGTTTTAAAGCATCTTGCATTAGCACTTTTTAAATAATATTTAAAAATGTCATTTGTATTTTTCACAGTAAAACTGCTGGGCAAAGACAAAACGGCTTTCTATGATTTATTAACAGCACCTGCCTCAAAAGTAAGCAAATCAATTTTTTTCAAGTTTTTTAATTGCTTGAAAATGTATTTATCATTTTTGTTAGAATATAAAATTTGAAGAACGTAAATTTTAAATAAATTCTTTGTATTGTGACATATGGTCTCTAATGAAAAATAAATAAAAATTTTAATATTTAAAAATAAATGCATGTAGCAATGAAATTTGTCACCTTCCTTGTTGAATGAAACACCCATGTGTCATGTTTAGTCTCTTCTGAAACTAATTAAAAAACAAAAAACAGCCTGAGTAGTTTTTCTAGATTGTTTATATAGAAAACAGCAGGACATACAAATTTTGATGTACCCAATCATTGGCATCTTGAGTGCGTATATAAACTCCTATATTTGAGTACTAGTTGGGGGAGGATGTGTATATTTTTGATATTAGTGTGCATTCATATGTTTTTTGATTTTGATTAATATTGGAGTTTTTTTGACTAGCATGAATACTCCCACTTAATATAAAGCTCTCCAAATTAATTTCAAAGGAAATTTAAATCACTGCAATTACTGTTTAATAGTATATTACAAATATTATCAAATTATGAAAATTAATTTTTAAATATTTATCATAGCTCAGTGGATAAAAGTGTTAGTTGAAGTAATCCAGTAACGACCCAAAGAGTTGAGAGTTCACAAAAACTTAGAGAGTTGAGTTAAAGGGAAATAGCTGAAACTGAGATATGCAGAAGAGGCACAGCATGTGGAACTGGAACAATCTACCCTGGTGGATGAAATAAAAGGTTCGGTTTGAAATTCCAATCAATCAATTAAAGAAGGAGCATACAATGGCTGAAACATTGTGAATATGACAACAAAGATGAGGACAACAGTCCGAACAATGTAAATAGTGTAATTAATTTTTAAACCTCAACATTTTTAGATTTTCTGCAAAATCTTTCATTTATATAAATTCATAGCCTTATTAGTCAGTTATTTTGTCTACAATTCTACAAGATTATGTCACATGCAGCTAAATTATATACTACATCATAAAATAATGATTCTAATTTTGATTCCAATTAATTCCTGGATGACTTTTTTTGTTTTGAGACTATTGTAAGCATTGATTAGACAGGGATTGCTGCAGGAAAAAAAAACATGTGATAGTCAGAAGCCAACATGTCTGGAGTAGAAGAACTTCCCATACCAACAACATGAAAATTTGTTGTGACTGTAACATGAAAATGAGTGTTGTTATGCAGCAAAATTACTGGTTGACTTGTATGCTAATAAAAGGTCTTTTCTATTTCAATGCACCATTCAAATGAAGCAACTGCATTGTGCAGCAATAGTTTGCACAGGCTTCTCTTTGAATTATTCCAAACATTGAGAAGTTTTTTTTTATCTCCAGATTCCATTTAAGTTAATCTATTGAAGGCTGACCTGAACCTAGCCATAATTTTATTCATTTTGAATTTTGTTAATTTTGTTTTTCACTGTCAATAATTGTCTTCTTCAAAAATGACTTTTTTGTTATGAGACAATAAGAGAAAATTTAAATATTCTTTTCTCTTGGTTTGTGCGGAATGTAGCCCCTGAATATTTTCAGAAATGATATACTATAGTCAGAGCTGGTGCATACCAAGGGTGGGATCAAGTCTGAATGGGGACTCCAGGCAGTGCTTTGCAACTGTTGCCATTGTATCAACATTTCCTATTTTCTACCTACATTTATATACATTACAAATTATACTAAGTACAACTAACTAGTATTAAAGGATGAAAATTTTTGTGTCATTCTGGGATATTTTTTTGTCCATATCTATGAATTTGTTTTGCTCATGTTAAGTTTAAAAAAAACACTATATAAAATTTATTATATTTTATCCATAATTCTGAATGTTTTAAATTATTCAGCTTTGTAACAAGAAAAATATCAAGTTGATGTTAAAAATTACTGCGAAACATTGATTTATTAAAGATGGAATGATCAATTATGACATGTCTCTAATTTGTATCTAGATACATTGTATTTATTTACAATTTTTCTAGTTAAATTGTTCACCTATATTGCATATGGTACATAATTAGATTACAATAAAATTTGTATTTTATATGAATACTACCTTATGAAAATTGAGATGTAGTACAGTGTGTGTGTGTGGGGGGGAGGGGGGGCTGTATTATAGATTTGGGTAGAGGCACAGGACCCTTGCACCTCACACTAGCCCTGACTATAGTTGACATTGCACAAGCACTAAAATGCTGAGTAAAGCTCAAAGAAACTTTTAAAATTGGTTCTAACATTGTGCCAAAAAATGTGGCTGAGAATTTTTTCATGAGCCTATGTTGAAGAAAAAAACTGTTAAACAACTTTTAAAATATTGTGAATGTATGAAAACGGTAATTTCATTGTAGAGCAGTTGGTTGAAATTTCGGTATTAGAAAAATATGATCCTATCACAGCTCTAATGACAGTTGCTATACAATTTTTTTAATCTTTTTATAATAGTTTTGAATAAATTTTCATAAAATTTTGATATTTTTATTTTTTTTATTTTTATTTTTATTTTTTACTAATGTTCACCCAATACAAGGCCCAAGAGCCACTTAAGGTAGAGGATAACTGTATTGAGTTATATTAGCATAGGAAAGAACAAGTGTTAAGAATACAGAGTTGAAGCAGACTTTAGAAAGAACTGGAAACCCAATCCTAAACAAGAAACATGGGAGAAACATCTAATCACATTCAAAAGGCTAGGAAGAAGTGTGAACCTGATGATAGGTGAACCTGTCTATTCCTATGCAAGAAAAAAATCAAAATGGAAAACTCTGAAACTCTTTTGTTTCTTTTTTTAATTTTTGAAATATTTCCACTTTTCCTTTTGAGTTAATGCTTATATTACATTAATGTATTCTCACACTGAACAGTCTTTGTGCTGCTTAAATTAGAATTTGTACTGTAAAATCTATATTATAAAATCTATTGACAAAATGTTTACTTTAGAAGATAGCAACAGATTAGAATTCAAAACAAGTTAAACAATTTTATATTTTTTAGTAAGGCAAATTCCATATTTTTACTTTGTTCTGTACCAGAGAGTTGAATAAATGAATATATGTCACAATATTTTCAATTTTAGAACTTATTTAAACATTTGTAACTTCATCAATAATAAAATAAATTTAATAAATAATACATTTGGAATGTATCATTTTTAAAGGTTTTGGACAAATGGTTTGAGTCTGAACCATTAAAAGCCTGTCTAGCCACAGATGCAGTTATTGGAGCAATGACTAGTCCCTATTTGCCAGGGAGTGGGTAAGTATATAAGAATCTATTAATTAATTAATATATTTACAAAATGAAACATGAAGTTGTTATTTTTTCCTGGCTTTAATTTAAATTAGTTCCTTTAATAATTTAAGGTAGATAATAATGACATTAGAAAATGGCAGGTAATTCTGCCATTTGCTTAAGGCCAATTGTAAAATTGGACACTGAGGTTAACATCAAGCAGCAACAGTTTATTTCATGCCTGAATGCAATTTTCAGGCCATGAACTTTGGCTTGACTATTTATCTATGCTGGTCAATAGTGCAATTGTTGCAACTACATCTAAAACAATAAATGACTTAATCAATACAAGGCAAAACAATATTCTAAAACTTGAAGGAGGAATTTACTCTATCACCTGTAATGATTACCAGAAAGAATACCTTGGGGAAACCACAAGAAGATTAAATAAAAGATTATATGAACACAAAAGGGATAATTTACAAAACAACACATTAAACACATTAGTCACTCACCATAACAAGACTGACCACAATTTTGATTTAAGAATGCCACTAAACATTTGTAAATAATTTTATATGATAAAAACAGTAAAATATGGAAAGAGTATGGGTTAGCAGACATAAAATCAATAAGATACATTTATCTGATACTTGGTGTTAGTTCAAGCATTCGTGTTTCATGAATTTGTAAGTTCAAATATTCATAATGGCAAATCGACAGAATCCGTTTAAAATAGGTATTCATAAGCACATCTCTAATGAGTGCATGATGAGAGTCAATTTACTCATGACCTGTCATGGTCAGAGATTATCAACAAACAGATATTAAAATTCAAAAATTCCACTTGGTCATGTCATGTGGGGTTGGATGACTGACTTTTACTTACTCCCTTAGAAGGTCAATCTGTCTAATTGTCAAGTGACACAGACTCTTTCCCCGCCATTTCTTAGTTGAGCCATAACTCAGTCTAGACAGGAAATAAAGAAAAAAAGGAAGAAAAACAGAAACAGAAAGAAAGTGTGTACCTTAATAAATTGATCATATGTATGATTTAACATTCAACATTGAGTTCAATGTCACAATTATAATTTTTGATTTTTGATTTAATATTTTATACTTTTGTATTTAACTATTATTAATCATATTATCTTTATTATTTTTATTAAATTTTTTATATTCTAAGTTTGTTTATTATATTTATCTAAGTATATTAGTTTTATTTATTGATTTATTTATTTAATTTATTTATGTTGGATATTATTATTATTATTATTATTATTATTATTATTATCAGTTAAAAATGATGATGATTGTATTATGGAGTGATGATTGCCATCTAAACTGACACGACTTTCACTGACTTTATTAAACACTTTGTTGTAACTTTTTTTAACTTCCTACCCCTTTTTCTTCCTATTTCTCTACCTTACCCGGTATATTAATTTGTTCAGCCCTTTTAAGGAAATTTTTCTAGGTCAGTCTATTTATTTTTGCTATTGTCTCATCATTTATTTCTTACTTTTTTCATTTCTTTCTTTCTTTCTTTCTTTCTTTCTTTCTTTCTTTCTTTCTTCTCTTAATTTTTAAGTGTTTTTCTTTTTTCTTCTTTTTTTCTCTCTTTTTCTTTCTCCTTTTTATCCTTTATATCTGTCTGCATGGATTGATTCCATTTCTTAAAAATATTCCATCTGAAGAGATGAATACAACAATATTCATGAAATAAATTATAACCGATATGGATTATTAAGGTGTTTTCTTTTTATATATATATATATATATATATATATATATATATATATATATATATACAACATTATTTTACATTACTATAGAAATTATTTTTTATTTAAAAATAATACCTATCAGCCCACAATACTATCAATACTTGGAATTACAAATGTAGCCTTGTGAAAAGGCAAATTGAAATAGCAAAAGAAAAATTATGTTGTAATTGACATCTTTGATAATGGTTTATGTTAGCCGAAAGCTTAGATTGTATTAAATAAAAAAATATGGATCAATATTGTGAATCTCTTTCTTCGTTCAACGATAATGTTATTAAACTTATCAGATGTTATGAAAAAATTTACATAAAATAAATAGACAACACTTGTCTATATTATTTAATGAAACGTGTATGAATGAAAAGATGCTGCCTAAATACACAGAATATATAATTATACAAAGAGAGAGAAAAGACAAAAAGGAAAAAGTTTAAATATTAAAAGAGGAAAGAAAAAAGGGGGAGAAAGACAGAGATTTCAATATAAGGTTTGTTAGGGGGAAGAGAAAGAGAGATAGACATGGGAAGGGAAAAAGGAAAAAGAGTGAAAGAGGGAAAGGAGTTAAGCCAGTCACCATAGTGATCCAGAACATATTTTATTCCCCCCACCCCGTACTTGACAAGTTAAAAGATCGGGCGGAGGATGGGAGTGATCATATTTCAAAATAGAAATATTGAAATTGTCTTGTCATTTTAAGCAGTGAAATCATCTCCATAGCATTATAACTGTCACAATTACAACCTGATAATAATAATAATAATAATAATAATATTAATAATAATGATCAAAATCATAAAAATATTAATAATATTATTAAAATATTTGACATCAATATAAAGAAATAACATCAATTTTAAAAAATGAAATTCTTTAAAAACATTAAAAGAATTAAGTTAATAAAGAGATAAAGGATCATTTTAAGTGACAAAAAAACTTTATATATATATATATATATATATATACATATACACACAAATATACACACATACACATAGATACATACATATACACATACATGCATCCGTACATAAACCCAGATACATACCCATAGCCACATACATATAAAAAATATGTCGATAATAATAATAATAATAATAATAATACTAATAATAATAATAGAATAAAATTAAAATTATAGACAAAGAAAATAAAATTAATTTATAATTTAATACTATAATCGATGTAGGCAAGAAAACCACATAAAGGATCATATATATATATATTTTTTTTTAAGCATTTCACCCCTTGAAGCCACTAGCACGCAAGGGAGTACAGAGGATTTGGAGGGAAAGCAGATAAGAGTGATAGAGGAAAGGATGAGGAGAAGGATAGTGATTAGATCAATGCAACTGGAGATGTCGATTGACATTACATTTGAATAGTTGGAGATTATAGCTATCAGGGAAACAGGAATAGGCAAGGGAGTTCCACAGGCAAGAGGTGCGAGATATGAAGCTATTGGAGTAGAAGAGGTGGCTACATTTAACAGTTCCAACATTGAAAGGGTGAGAGCCTCGTAATACGCTTGAATTCGCGAAGTCCAGGAACCAGCGAAAGCAGCTCATCGAAGCAATTACCATGAAAGTATTTGTAAAAAAGACAGAGAGAAGCGACGGCACGTCTGTGAGAGAGCGACTGCAGACGAGATGCCAGATCAGGGTCAATTATATTGCATATCCGTCTCTGGATCTTATCAAGAACCCCAAGGCAAACAAAAGGGGCTCCAGACCATATATGGCAGCAATACTCCATGCAATGGCAAATGGTTGATTTGTAGATTTGAATGAAAAATTTCCTGGCGTGGCACAGGGAGCCAACTTTCCTTGTGGTTGATGAAGAAATTGACTCAATGTATTTGTTCCATCTTAGGTCAGCAGACAATGTGAGACCGAGCAGCCGCAGAGAGGTGCTCTCGGGAAGTTGAGCATCAGACATTCTAATGGAGAAGGGCAGGGAAGGATCTCTGTGGTGATTAATAGAGAGCAGTTTTGTTTTGGAGGCGTTAAAGTTAACCAGCCAATTACTGATGCAGTTCAAAACCGATTGGAGGTCCTTTTCGAGACAAACGGCTTGGTTAGTTTTGTAGATTTGTTTTTGAGGCAGAAGTAAATTGTAAATTCGTCCGCGAAGATGCCTACTTGGGAATCAATGATGTCAGAAAGATCGTTGATGAATATAAGGAACAGAGTAGGGATTAGGATGGAACCTTGGGGAACACCTGCATTCGTGGGATAGGAGCTGGAGGAGAATCCGTTGAGAACGACCTTCAATTCACGGTTTGACAGGAATGATTGTATTAAGTCAAACAATCGACCTGTAATACCATAACCCTGGAGCTTGCGAAGAAGGCCGGCATGCCAAACCCTATCAAATGCTTTGAAGATGTCTAGGGCCACGGCACGAGCTTCTTCGTTATTCTGAAGAGCTTGGTAGACAATTTCAGTGATGGCCGTAAGCGCATCAGCTATAGATCGGGCAAAGCGGAAACCATATTGCTTGTCTGAGAGGAGATTATGGGATGTAAGGTGGTTAACCACTTCGGCATTGATTAAAGCTTTGGAGACTTTGCCGAAGATGGGTAGGAGACTGATAGGACGGTAGTTAGAAGGGCCAGAGGGGTCACAAGAGTTCTTAAAGACAGGAACAATTGATGAGAACTTCCACCAGTCTGGAAAACAAGATTTCTTGAGGCAGTAGACAATGGCTGGTATCCCATCTCCACCACTAGCCTTGTGGGGTCTAAATTAGAGATAATGCCCAATACCAATGACGGCTTATGTGCAACTCACTCAATAGGGCCTCAGTTCTAAGAGGGAAATCGGGTATGGATACACCGGAAGAGTCGAGCGTTGAATTGAATGAAAATTACCGAGCAAAGCATTCAGCCTTGTCGGCAGATGAGGTCAGGACCTCAAACTGTTTGAACAAAGGAGGTATAGAGGGTTTGCTACTGTTAAGTACGCTCTTGCATAGACGCCAATAATCCTTGGAGCCGAATTTGTGAGATGCAATACATTCCTTCATTCGAGTAGCAAATAGTGACTTAGATTCATTGGGGACACGCTTACACTCATTATGGGCAGAGGCAAAGAGACGTCTATTGCAGTCTGACATGTCGCTACGATAGAGGTGGAAGAAGTTGTTCCTATGGGCAATGGCGACTGGGCAAGCAGCAGAGAACCAAGGGGATGAGTGCGATTTGACCTTAAATTTCCTTGAGGGGGTGAAAGCGTTGATTCCAGCTTTGAAACAGGAGGAGACCTCAGAAGCACATTCTTGAACATAAAGAAAACATCCCAGGGGACATCGCGGAGGAAATCATGGAACGAGTCCCAGTCAGCTTGTTGTTAGCAGAACGAGGTTCTAGAGGTAGGAAGTTCTTTGCAGGGGGTGGAGTTGTAGGCAAAACGTGTGGGGAAGTCAACTATTTGCGTGAGGGATTGAGAAACTGAAAAATTAAGTGTTTGAATGCTTGCAAGGTCAGTAGTAGCATTCTTAAGCCACTTAGTATGATGGGTGTTAAAATCGCCAAACACTAATATGGAGAGAGAGAGAGAGAGAGAGAGAGAGAGAGAGAGAGAGAGAGAGAGAGAGAGAGAGAGACTTGTTTATGCTGTCAGAAACGCTATCATTATTCCGCAGTCTTGAGAGGATGGAGAGCGATAAAGGAAGAAGAGATAGCTTACAGCCTTGAGAAGAGATAGCCGGAGACACAAGTACGAATAGTCTGGCGATTCGAGAGACAACTCTCTAGCCAGTGGGAGATGGTCCTTGACGTAAACACCAAGGCCATGCATGTGTGTTTGAGAGTCTTTTCTAAGAAGAGGGAGGTAGCCGGGGATCGAGAGATCAGAGGAGGAGATAGACGGGTCAAAGTTGGTCTCACACAGAGCCAGGATATCTGGGCAGTTTGCAGTGAGGAAGGATTCCACGCTGCAGAAATTGGTTCTAATGCCACGGATGTTGGAGAATTAAATTTTGAAGGGTTTGGGTGATTTTTGAAGGGCTGGTTTAGGTTTACTTTTTCAATCTTTGTAAGTCATCATGTGGAATTCTGGTTGGAAGATGAGAAAGCCTGAAGTAAAAGAAGCAGACGGTTATTGGCCGTGATGTGGGCAGAGAGAAGTTGGCAGAGAGAAGTTACCCACCGGAGGTGACTGCAGGGACACTTTTCCATGCGCGACATGGCACTACAGACACCCCGGTATTATACAACTGTTGATCAGAGTGGCCGCTCAAGACGCTCCTAACTATCAGTCGGAAACAGCAACCAGGAAACTGTCAACCGTGTACCCTCAGAATGAAGAGGTAGTGCCAAAGACTGCACACATCACGGGAGAAACACGGCAGCACTTGTACAGAGGCCAGAGAGAGAGAGAGAGAGAGAGAGAGAGAGAGTTCTGGGAAGCCCTTCTTAAACCAGAAACAAGGCGTGAGCCTCTAAACTTGTCCAAGGGAAGGGGGGGGAGTACTGACCGGGCGGTAGGAGAGCCTACCTACTCCTATTAAACAATACATGTACAACAACAACAATAACAAAAAAGAACAGAGGGGGAGGTAGTTGACAAAGTGTCCAGGCTGACAGTAGGAGACGTATGTACTGGGGGATAGGAATGTTATTTTATTTGTAATTTACACTTTCACTAAACTAAGTTTTAACTTAGTATAAGTCCCATTGTCCTATTCTAAAAAAGAAATTAAAAAATATAGTTATCCAGCTTTGTGGATATGGCATAAAAGCCTACACACTTATGGCAACAAGTGTTCACATTCATCCGCTTTCATTCTCATGGTCACTAGTGAAAGTTCAGGTTACCTTATCACCAAGCTTCTTGTTTCAATGAACGCAGAGCTGGGGGGGGGGGGGGCAATGGGCATTCCTCCCCCCCACCAACAATGGACTTGGGGTACTTCCTTTCAATAAAATTAAAAACAATGAGGAGAAACATACGACTAAACGATTCCATATTGGGATTTTTTATCTAGCAAGATTTTCGGCCAACTAGAACATAAGAATACTTGCGACGTATAAAAACATTGTAAATGCATGCATGCATACAAGTTAGTACCTATAAAAATAGATGATAATCTACTAATTTTTGTGTTAACAGCATTAGGGATTTGATTATTTATTTATATTTATTAATTATTAATTAACCAATACGTCTTTAAGATATCAAACAACTCTATCTAAACATTACTGGAATCTTAAAGATGGAGGCTTCACCTCAGAAATAAAATAGAGTATCATCTGTCAGTCACAGTCTCCCAACAACTTCAGGGACAGATGCAATCTATGCATTAAAGAAACAAATTATAATGTTTAAATATAAAAATTTGATGAATTATTGAACCAATGGAATGAACTTATCTTCAAGTGTAGACATAAGAAACATTTTAAAATTCCTTGATAACATTTTGGAGAACATTATACTTGAAGTGTTGGATATTTTTTATGGGTACTAGCATGTATTAAAAAAAAACCTTGACCTTTTTAATAGTTGATAAATAAACAGACTCTTTAAGAAACCAGTGAATAAATGCATAGGCCTTACTTAGTAAATTAATATACAACTGTTGACTAAAGGCTCTTTATATGAGGTGTTAATAATAACCAATCAATGCAAAATGTCAAAATGTCAGCCAAATACCAATACATCTGTACAAAATGTTACTAACATGACTAGAAGATTAATACAAAATTATATTAAATCTAAATTAATCTTACCAATAGAAAGATAAGCCATATATGATGCAACACAGTTCAATTAAAATCTAAGAAGAAGTAATTGTCAAATTTTAAATCTAGCAGAATTCTAAGGTAAAAGTTAGACTGCGTTTACAATTTATTGTTAATTCAGATGTTTGGTTTAGTAAAGCATTTTTATCAAAGAACCTGATAATTTGCAATTTTAAAAATGGCAAGGACATGTAGATCTTTATATGAACCTTGTTTTTTGTATTTACAGGTTGAGATTGTATTTTGCTTTTAAATTTCAATAAATTGCAATAAATCTTTCACTTACCAGTCATTTACAATCACCTGATGAGATACATTGATTTGCATTGAAACACGACTGCAATTGTATAGCATTTTTGACATGTTCTTGATGTAATATCCTAAAATAAAGTATACATACATACATACATACATAAATACATACATATACATATACACATCATTTATATACACAAAGTGGAAAATTTATTAACAATGAATTTCATCAAGAGCTGTTCTCTTTGGCTTCTTAAAGTTTGAATGAAAGAAAGACGAAACTGTATGTGAGCACTCTTTTCCTACCTTAGAAAACCTAAAGGTTAAGGGAATTTGAACAGTGAGTGCAGATTGCACATATTCAAGATTAGGTTTGCTTAGTTAACATACTAAACTTTTGTGGGGTTATTTAATGTCAAAATTTGTTTTTGTAATACTTGAATCAAAAGGTAAACACTGATTCAGTTTATACTTAAGTTTGAAAACATCCAACAAAAGCTGGCCCCCTTTTTTGTTGGTAGTGCAGGTAAATCTTAACCCTCTATCAGGAGGGAGGGCACATATTATGAACTTATGTGAGTACACTTTATGAGTCTGTTGCCTGTGAGCAAAGGACTACATCTATGAAAATGATAGAAACTAGATCTTAGTTTCATAGTCAAACCACTGGATACTTTGGGTAGCATTTATATATGTATGGTATACATTTCACATTTAGAATGAACTTTAGACTAAATAACTTTTTGTTTTTTTTAACCGATTTACCCCTAGTAAGGCCATAAGACACAAGGGATTACTGGAAGTGAAAGAGAAGAAAAAGACTTTATAAGGAACGGGAAACCCAATAATATTATGAATTTCAGAGTTTAGGCAAAGATGATGGAATTATATACATGTAGAAGAAGGGAACAAAATAACAAATGTCAGTTACAATTGCCTATCAAGAGAAACCATTGTCATTTTTTCCCTCCCCCTTTGTAGTCTGAAGAAGTCCCTTTGAAGAATGAAACATGTAACAGGATTTTTCCATTTTGTCATTCAATTATGCAGCATTAGTCTGATATATAGAGTTTATATATCATATTCTTCCATTTATAAGAATATATATATATATATATATATATATATATAAGAATATATATATATATATATTCTTATATATATATATATATAAGAATATATATATATATATATATATATATATATATATATAAATTCTATTTTTATATATATATATATTTATGAATAAAAATGACAATAGGAAAACTATTGTCATTTTTATTCATAAATATTGTCTTCTCTACTGGTTAAATCGGAGAAATTTTATATATATATATATATATATATATATATATATATATATATTGAAGTTGAAAGCCTAATTCTGAAAATATTACATGATAAATATTTATTTTTAAACTTAATCTTCTTACTTGTCAATGCAATTAATTCAAAATTCATCTACAATCTATGTTTCAGGTTATATTGATCCACCATTGTATATAAGTATAAATAAATATTTATTGAAACTCTACTGATGTCTGCTTATATATACTTATTCTAGATATGTCTTATTGCATCATGTGATGGGTGAGATTGAAGGAGTGAAAGGAGCTTGGGGCTATGTCCAAGGTGGAATGGGAGCTGTATCACAGGCCATTGCAAACTGTGCAACTGATCGGGGAGCGGAAATATTTACTGATAAGGTATTTCATTTTTATTGAATACTAGCAGTAGAGCCCGGCGTTGTCCAGGGATGTAACAGCAAGAGATACATCAAGTATCAACCATCATAAAGACTGAAAAATAAAATTGACAAAGATTATTGTTTAAGGTTGATGGACACGCATGTCTTAATTATTTTTTTTTGTTTTTTGTTTTTTTTACGAATTGGTCAAACCCAAAATCAAACAAAAACATTGTTTTCAATCATTATGAGTCTGTCGATTGAATAGAATTTTATTATAAACAATTGTCTTGTAAATGGAATTTTTAAAGCATTCTGAATGTAAAAATAAAGAAAAAAGTGTGCAAGTCAATAAGAAACACTACCTGCCAAAAAAAGTGAATTTTGTTGAAATCGGTTGAAAAATGTAGGAAATCTGATCCCATATATAAATGAACACACACACACAAACAACCTGGGTTTTATAATAAGTATAACACGATATGAGTTGTCCCCCTTTCATTCTGGCGACAGAATCGTGTTTTATCATGTTTTCAAATTGATTTCATGCAAAAACAATTGTTTTTCCAATTTTTGGTAATTTTATGCAGTCCTGTGAAGTTTTGTTGAAATCGGTTGAAAAATGTAGGAAATCGGATCCAATATATAAACGTACACACACACACACACACACACACACACACACACACACACACACACACACACACACTGCATTTTATAATAAGTAAGATGTAGCTGGGCACTGACCCTTTTAAAATGTTTAATTGCATGTAAATGCAGGATGGTAACTTGGAGGGACTACTAATTGGATAATAATTATTCAAATTCTCAGGAGAGTAGTTTGAATGGTTGAGACAAAAACTAAAAAAGAAACTTGTTAAAATTTATGTTTTAAAATAACAAAATAATTTAAGAACAGTTTGAAAGCAAAACAAACCTGGAATTAACTAGCCAAGATAAGTAAAATCGAGCAAAAACAAAGTTTCCCTCCCTATTCACTTCTTGCTGATGAGAAGAAGACATGATTAGTGTGTTGCCTGAATTTCTTTGGTCATGAGAAATTAAATTCAAAAATCATTTACATTATTATAAACAACTATATCTGACCAAAACATGTGTGGTTTTACGGGAAATAATAATCCAAATTCTTTTAAAGACAGAAGCATTTATTTTTGTTTAAGTCCCAGGCTTATGATTTCTTTATAATATACTATCTGTCCAAAATGTTTGTGTTCTTACAAATTATTCTAGACAAAGAAGAATTTTGTAAATTCCCAAGCTAGGGATTTGAACACAATTATCTTTACAGAAATATATCTAGGAAGATTCTAAACAAAGGCAGTACCCTATAGTTAATTGTCAACATCTCCTAAGATTAAAATAGTTGGGGGTGGAGAAATTAGATATATCAATGTCAAATTGTGGGTTGGGGAGACATCTATATAAGTGAGAGCTTCCTGAACACAGAAACAGTTGTCCCAACAAGAAAGGTTGCCAGAGATTTGCTCCAGTTGTATTTCTCATGGCTGAAGCAAAAACAAAAGTCAAACAGAAATGGGCCCAGGAGAGGCCAGACCAGGATTACTCATAAGACAGTCATTGCTAAAAAGCACACTCACAATTCCCATGGCTAGAGTGAAAACTTAGGCAAATATATGATTGAAGAATTCAGGAAAAGTTAACAGAGTTAGCAGCTGAAAAGAAGAAGAGGAGATGGGACAGAGATAGAGAGAGTGTGGGGGTGTGAATGATATGGGTGAGGGGTTATAAATAAAGTAGTCACTACTAATAACAGATACACATGTTAACCCCTATGCAAAATCAGTGACTTGAAACTTTTTAACTTTGAAACTATTAGTTTTCCTACTCTTGAAGAAAAGTAAAATTTCAAATTTTCAAATATTTGTAAACAAAAACAATTTATTTATAATTGTCTTAAAATCTTTTGATTGCAAAATCTATAGTAGGATCCGAATATTTTAAGTACTACATCTCTCTTTCTTTACATCCTAAAAATGTTGTTTTGTGTATGCAAATACTCTTAGGCATCTAATAAAAGACGGGGACCTTTCATTTTATTTTTTTTTTAGTATCTGACCCTGCCAAACCTTTGCTGTTTATGAATTTTGCATTTTCCCCAGGGCTCAAACAGAAAACAATTAACAATTAAAAGCTTGATCCAACTATAATAGTTAGTTCAAACTTTTACTTGTTTGCTTTTATGCAAGCTATTAAGATATCCATACTTGTATGATATGCCTGCTTTTAATATGAATGCTTTTATCATATGTCTCCTTTTATGATGTGCATTCTTTTATGTTATGTATATTTTTGATATACATGCTTTCAGTATAGGAAAGTTTTTATAATTGTTGTGAAGTGATTTCGCAGTGGAGGCTTGTATTTGTACTAAAACGGTTCGACGTACAAAACGTTAGGAACTTGGTATTACGCAGAGTAATCTGGTTGTGGTCACTGATACTTTTGTATTCGACTAACTGTCGTCCGACATTGATTGACCTTTGTTTCTCTTACCACTCCTACTTATATTAGGTGGGAGAGTCTATTAACTATAGAATAGGTGTGTTTCACCATAACACCCTCTCCTAAAACTTTACTCCGTAAATGTGCCATGTCTAATGGATGTCAGTTATCAGTTATCACCTCTCCAAGTACTCCACTGCCTTAACCAGACAACTCCTTGGGTCCTATCATTGGATCTAACCAATGCCTTTATCCACTGAGCCACGTGTCCTTAAGGACATCTGTGTATGAATTTCTGGGACTTATAAACTTAATGTCTTCAGCAACGATTTTTACCAGTGCTCATATTGCAATTTTTTTGCTGTTATCATCATGTTTTTACCAGAGCTCATATTGCAAGTTTTATTGTTATTATTGCTTTTCTCTGGCACTCCTTATTACTTGTTCCCATATTGTATTCATTTCTATGCATGGTCGGCTCAGGAGATTTTTGTGGCCTAGCATATTTTTCCAGTGATGTTCTTTGTCTATGATTTCAATCTGATCCCACAGAGGGTGGTGATCATGACACGTGGAACTAGAACAGTCTACCCCAGTGAGTGAAATAAAGGGTTCAGTTTGACATTCCAACCACCCGAAGAGGAGTAACTCTTATTTTCCTTTCATATACAAAATTCCAGTGCACATTGTATTATAAACAAGCTTAAAAGCTGCCCTATTGGGTGGCATTTAAGCTAGCTCCTGTGGAGGATTCTTGGTTTGGCCATCATCACAATCGCTAGGAAGGAGTAGATGCAATAGGCATCAATAAACTACAGAAGAACTCAAAATTGGTCATTGCATTTTTTAAGTATTGAATTAATGTTTAATCTTACCTTTTAAAAGTTTAAAGATAATTCTTCTGCTGCCACTTAATTTAAAGACAATTTGATGTATGTAGCTCCTTATTTTCCATACGAACAATTATTTTTATTTCATGGGTGACAGAACGGGGGACAATTTATAAGATAAAATTAATATAGTGTAAAGATGGGAAATTAGAATTAGTTATACATTCAACATTTGAAGAGTTAGAGAAACATAATACCTAATTAAGTAAAACCTACATTATAGAAACTATATAAATAAATGTGAAATTGTAGCTCAATTCTCCCACAAATTCTGAGATTAAAAAGACCCAGCTTTACTTTATAGTAATTTGGCATTTACTTGATCCCACCATGAAGTTGTGTTGTGACAAAAGGTTGGTTTAATGTGAGGAGTCCAAGCATGTACACTCGGCTAGAAACAAAAATTCCCCAAGCCCCAGCAACTGTTGGATGCATTGGTCGTGGTGTGAGCACCGAATCCTCTCTCTGGTGCAATGAGAGGGCATGGCCTCAGACAGCTGTTCCCCCAGGCTAGGCACATTTCAGTATAATTTTCCACAGTTGTGAATCTGTCCTCTGATGGAGCCAACTCTGAGCACACTTGGTCCAAAGATAGAGACGCAACTGAGAGATGATAAATAAACATGTTACAAACTACTTCATAGTAATTTGGTATTTACTCAACCACACAAGAATTTGCATTGTGACACAAGGTCGGTTTAATGTGCAGAGCCTGCGTGTGTACATCTGGGCTAGGAACAAAATTTCACCTCATCCCCGTAAACTGCGGTTGCACTGGCCTCAGTACAAGCACAAATCCCACTCTCTCATGCAATGAGAGGGGGTGGCCATGGGCAGCTGTTCCCCTGGGCTGGCACCTCTCAGTATAATTTTCCTCAGTTGTGACTCTGTCTTTTGATGGAGCCACCCCTGATCACACTCTGCTCAAAAACAGAGACGCAACTAAAAGATGATAAATGTGTAACAAACTACTTTAGAGTAATTTGGTATATCAGTATATTATAATATAAAAAGATATTATAAAATAGCATATTATAATGTAACATAAAATAATGAGATAATGTATTAGTATAAAATCTTTTATTTGTAAAAGAAACAGATATTTTTTTCTGTTAAGATTATTCAAAATGTCACCCATAAGTAATGTGGAAGTGGCATTTGCATTTTCATCTTTTTTGTTAATGAAACATAGGACAATTTTTAAATGTCAAGTGACAGCAAAAATATGAATGACAATAGCTTTAGTTAAAATGATTCAAATACAATGTCCACTAGTTGGATTGTTGAATTTTTATAATTATCTTTTTGTCTTTATCATTTCAAAATAATTCCAGGAATTTACAAAGCTATAAATTTTTTATCATTATACTCTTGTGTATTAAAGATAATTCTATTTTTTACAGACTTTTACTCCAAAGCTTATTTCATGTACACATCTAAATACTATCTATGACTCAACTATATTAATAATATTATCAGAGTGTGTCAAAATTATTTTCATTTTTTACAGACTTTTACTCTAAAATTTTTTTCATGTAAACATTTACCCTTTTAAACTATCTTTGAATCGACTATATCAATAATAATAACTATATAACTCTCTCTCTCTCTACCTATATATATACAAATATTTAAGTAAATGCTGTGATTATAACAAACAGTATTAACAACATTCGTCTGATTAGCAATGTTGAATTCCTGTTTTTAAACTACAAATTTAATTTCTTAAAAGCAGTAATTCGACCTTGCTAACTAGGTGCTTCCTCTGTAGCTAAATGGTATAGCATGCCGGGCTATATGACGGTTCTGTGTAGGATATGGGTTCAAATCCTGTTGAAGGACACATATTTTCTCTGAAATTTCTTGGACATTCAGGCAGGTAAATTTTGTTAATACTATTTATTATAAACAGAGCATTTACTTAAATATTTGTATCGATAAAAATAACATATAAAAAATAAATATATGAAAATAATTTTCAGATTTAGTCCATTTCATAATGTGTATATATATATATATATAGTGTATTAAAAGTATTTTCATTTTTTACAAGCCTTTACTTCAAAGCTTATTACATCTACATGTCTAAAGACTATCTTTCATTCCACTATATTATCATTATTATCATCAATACTATTTAGGTGAACCTTTTATTTCAGATGTTAAACTGTGTCAGACTGTATTATAAAAGTCAACGTTTATAGAATAAAATTGGTATTAACCAACTAATCTTAAAATATTCAGTATAAACTTATATTTAGATATATAAAATATCATTGAGACTATCTTGTTTTAAGAATGTTATCTTTTATTATAAAATGTACATTTTTATTTATAAATAAATCCAAAATCCATAAAATATATATTTGTTTAAGGCAATATTCCACATGTCTGAATAAATTATCTTTTGACATGTTAATATTAACTCATTGACATTCTATGACCTTCATTAATCTTTCAATCATTGATTTTGTTAATGTTTTGACATTAATATTACTTGCAGCAGTTTTTATTTCTTTCCAGATATCTTCTTTAATAGAATATTGTTTTCCATCTCTTTTAATGAACAACCACATCTTTTCTACTGGATTAATATTTGGAGATGCTGCAGGTCATTTTATTAACTAGGTGTCTTTGAAACCTTCTTTTAGCCAAGTAGACAATGTGTTACACTATAAGATGCTAGAAGGGTAAAGGATAGTTTGATACCTATGCCAAGAAAGATGTTACATTATAAACCTGATAAACATACCAAGAGATGAGGCAGTATTTTATTAAAATTCAGTAAGTTTGTTTTCTTCTTTCAATAAGCCATAAGAAAAGGGAGCTGATAATATTTTTAAAGTTTTCTGGGAGTGAAGGTGAAGTTAAGAGAATTGATTTATTTCACTTGCCAAAAAGGGTCAAAGGCATAGATCACTAAAGAAATGGGATTTTTTTGGATAGGAGCTGAACCCCAAGTGTCATGGGACAAAACTTGCTAAGAAAGCTGTCATGGGGACACCTGTTGAATGTCTGACTGAGAGAATGGAGTTTGGGTTGAGGAATCCTGCTGATGAAAATTTTGAGCAATAATTGAAATTAATGATTATAAGTAAGCCCTTCCTGTTTGCCTATGCAGTCTAAAAATTGTTTGTCAAAATGACAACTGAAGTGAAGGGCTTAGGTGAAATATCAAGAGAGACAAAGGTATTGCCTATGCCCCTTTAGTAATATTGGTATAAGGTACCAATATGAAAAGGAAGGAGTTTAGAAGGATCAATGTTCGGCTACCACTAATCTTGGGAAGAGGGATCTCCTCAAAATTGGACATGCAATTAATTTTCCAGAGTCAGACAACAAAGGACTCTTTGTAGGGGTTGGGGATTTACCAAAACCCCAGGCCCCATCAGACTCCACACCAGATTTAGATGGAGGTCCATATAAGCAGAGAGATAAAATGACCAAGAGATGACAATTGGTCCAGATGCCAGACAAGAGACAACTGCTTCACCTGATCTCATGTGACTTCCTGCCTGAAGAAACCTCCAACTTAAGTTGTTCCAGAAGCCTGTCTATACTTAGTCACAATGAACGTGTCATGAAATATTCAAAGAAGGAAGGGTCAATAACTCTGCATGATGAATATATTCCCGCATGAAGAATTTATATTCCTGCCTAAAGAACTGGTAATTATAGTACCAGCTCTGTACAAGAAATGTTATATAAAACATTTTCTTTTATAGAATTTGTTTTTTTTTACTCTGTCTGAAGCAAACCAATTCAACAATTCCTGGTGACAATTTGAGTCTCGCCAGCCTTGTGATCTAAATCAAATACAATGTGGGACAAAGCAGGGCTTGGATTGAAGTGATCCATTCAATGGTCAGCTGCAGGGATTGAACATTGAATGGACTGATGGGGTGGACGTCATAAATGGACAGTTTTGCAGAATGTGAAGAAGCGTTATCTTCCTTGAACATACTCTTTAACTTAAAGCTTTTTAATTGTGATCTGTAGCACTCAATAATGTTTTGTCCAAAATCTTATAATTATCTACATTTATCTTGGTATAATCATCAACTTAGAAGGAACCTATAATTTTACTGCGTACAATATTAGCTCTAAACATACCTCCATCTCCTTGATATTGTCCTCTAAACAACATTGGATGACTATTTTCAGGAAGTACCCAAGTACTAACTCAGCCTTAGGTTCATCCAATGTAGCTCTATATTCATGTTATACCGGAACATTACCTATTCTATTGTAATAGACTCTCCCACACATAATAAGTAGTAGTAGTAGTAGTAGTAGTAGTAGTAGCAGTCGCCAGTTGAGCTCAGTGGAGTTGAGTGAGTCAGTTGATGTTGGACATTAAAGTATCCTCACCACAACTAGATTGCTGCGTCATTAACTATTATTTCAAGTTCCTAACATTTTGTACGTCGAACCTAATTTAGGACCGACTTAGTGAAATACAAGCCTCCACTGTGAAAACTACTCTACAACAATTTATCACTCAAAATTACTGTTGAGAAGCCAGTTTTCATGGACTTCTTCACTAAACTTTAATATTTCTCTTTGCTACATTTACTTAAAGGTGATAGTTTGGTACTTTTCAAGTCTTTGGCAAATGTTCTTAATACCTTTTCTTTGTTTATATTTAACACTAACACGAGTTTTTCAAATATTTTTTTCGTTTATTATGCCACTTTTCTTACTTAATATCCTTTTTTTCTTAAATCTCTTTTTGTAGTATCCTTAATACCATTTTTTTTATTGTCCTTATCTTGCCAATGTTTTCAATTTCTTTTTTGATTGTTTTATGATCACTATTCAACTCCTGCACAATTTCCAATATTTTGTCCCTATCATTTAAGTTTACAATATCTAGTTTCTCTTTTGATATTATAACTTTCTTATGACCCACAGCAGTTTGTTATTTCTCTGAAATTAAATAAAATACCAATAACCATACTATTATGCATATGATGAACAACCCTCAAGTTGCGTAATAAAATCTCACACTACTGAATAAGTTATTGTAAGTATTTATAATAAAGCAGAGATAAGCTGACATGCACGTTATATCTATCATCCTTTTCTATGTGCAGTGTCCCTTCAGGACGTAAGTGATCATGACTCTCTACAACTTCCTATCTTTTGTGACCCCTTAGCAAAAACTCCTGCCCTCCCCTATTCCACCATCTATTAACACAAGCTTGTCAGGTAGGTGGCCTGCTGTTTTCCCTTATCTCTTTTGTCTTTGATATGTCCTTTGAGAGATAATTTTTCCAAGTCCTCGTTTCTCATTATGTGTCCAAGAAGTTTTAGGTGACCCTTTCTGATTCTGAGTATAAGTGTTCTTTTTGTTGCCATTTTCTTTAAGTCTTCCTTGTTGCTTACTCAATATGTCCATGGAATTTTCAGTATTCTTCTAACCATAATGATTTTACAAACATTTGTTGGTTAATACCAATTCTATTACAAAAACAGTGACTTATATAATAAAATATGACATAGCATATAATGGTAAATACAAGTATTGAGATTCTTGTAATTTTGAGGTATAATTTTAAAAAGATTCTCTCAAATTTACTGAAGCTGCTTGCAGAATCCAGGAGTGGAAGAAAATGAAACAATAACCAATTATACTGCCTAAAACTGGTCTTAGCATTTTAAGAGGAGTTCCTTGAAATCCAGAAATAGACAACAATCAGTTTTTTGATTATGATGTTTTACAACACAAAATAAAAGAGAATGATCCAAAAATTTTTCATATGAGGTAAGATCATCAAAAAAATACCATATGTAAAACATCACATAAGCTTAAAAAAAGCAACCTCTTGAGAAGGTTTTGATGATAAAATGAAAATACTTTTGATGTACCTTAAAATTTTGTTTTATTTCAACAAATTTCTTTAAAGAAAAAATAATGGTTACAACAGATTGCTTAAAATTTTCAGACAAGAATTATATTTTGGTATCTTTTATTATAGCCTGTACAAAAGATCCTTGTTCAAGATGGTAATGCCAAAGGAGTGAAATTGTCTAATGGTGTTGAAGTTATGGCAAAAGCAGTATTGTCTAATGCTACCCCAAAAGTCACATATATTGATTTGCTTCCAAAGGTTTGTATTTCTGTATGAGTTTTATTGAAACATTTTATGATTTAAGAAACCAGTAGTTTTTAAAAGATATTCTTTAAAGAAAAGGAATTTGGAGACTAAGAAAGTATTCAGACATTTTAAGCCTTAAGGAAAAAGTAGTTAATGGATATATTCAAAATCCAATTCAGGGCTTACGGTCATATAGCATTGAAATACTAGTTCCCGTACAATCACATAAGTTAATCAACATTGAACCTGGTTAGATGGGTGTCCACTTGGGAATATCAGGTGCTGTAAGCTTAGCTGTATGGATGGTGTAATGGATAATGGTTTGGAATTGTTAATTGGAAAGCCGAATTCTAATTCCAGTTAGGTTTGTTATATACACTTCCATGCAAATACTCTTGGGAAATACCCTCTTCTCCTCCACCTGGCTAGAAGTTAATTAGTAAAACTTGTATCACTAAATGATTGCGTCCTGGGTATGATGATAAACTACATTCGCATCCAGGGTAAGATGATAAATTATGTCCAACAGCAAGGCCTCTGATCAGGAGGCTTTGAGAAGCATGGGACCTCTTAATTACTAGTGTTCCCAGGTCCACCCAGATCTGGGGTGGTAGCACCTGTTAGGGTCTCAGCTATGGGCAAACTGTTAACCCAGAAATTGAGGTAAAAGGCATTATAAAAGTGTAAAAATAGGTTTTAATGCCAGAAATACTTTGTATAAAGATAATTACCAGAAATAAATTTTTGAAGAAAAAAAATATTACCAGCAATATGTTTTTGAAAAAAACTATTACCAGTAATATGTTTTTTGAAAAAATATTACCAGCTATACGTTTTTGAAAAAATAATATTACCAGCTATACATTTTTGAGGAAAAAATACTAACAGAAATAGATTTTTGACAAAACAAAAATATTATCAGAAAAAAAAAGGTGTTGGCATTAAATGACCCATTGAAGTTGATATGCCATAAAACAAAACAAAACAAACAAACAAACTAAATGATTATTATCTCCAAAAAAGAACTTTTACAATCTAAAAATATTTTCTGGCTTTAAATAACAAAGGGTTGATAAGCCATAGAAAATGAATGAATCAAAATAAATCAAAATTCAGTTCAGAGTATATTTTTTGCTATTTGTATATAATGTTTATATAAATATCTTTTTTCTTATTTCTTCTAACAAATGATTTGTATCCAAGAATAGTAAATAATGTTCAGTAGTACAATTTATATTGTAAATTCTCTTGAATCTCTCTACCTCTCAAGCCTTGTAAACTACATGTGTGGAGTATCAGGCCACAGCTTCAATATTGCCACTGTGATTTCCATATCAAGTGTGTTTTTCAAGGTATGGAGTTGCATGTCCCATGCCAAATTGATTTTCAATTCAGAGTTGTCCTTCTCATAGACTGGTTGCCAGCCTACTCTACTATTTAACCCATTGTTGGAGGGAGAAGAGATGGATTCATAATTAGTGCAAAAGGGAATGTAGTGAACTTGCCAGAAATTCAAACTCAATTTGTCAATTCCTTATTCTGAGCTGCTAACTATTTCATTACCACATGGACATCCACCCAACAGTCAACAGGAGAAAAAAAGAAAACAACAAAAATAGAATGTGGCAATGAATGAGAAAACCAAGTCTTAGATTGAAAAAGAATTTGCATTCTGTGTACTGTTTGCTGAAAAATCAAATCAAAATCAAGATTTGATCTACTTTAGTAAGCCTCAAAATATGGTAATTTTTGTGCTTGTCTACCGGTTCAACCAATCACAGCCTTTCTTACCCCCAATAAAAGAAGCAGTATTATTCTTTGTTTTTTATAGGTGAAGTGGGCAGTTGTATATTGTGAGTCATGGATATGGATTTTTGACTCCTTTTAATTAAAGCTCCTGTTATTCGGGCTTGAGATTGATTTATAACCTTCAGAATTACAATCGTGGATTTCTGATTTTTAATCCTCTCCATTGCTATTTTCTCACATATAAACTATGCAGGTTACCGAAACAATTTTCAGACATCCTATGTTAATCTGTCAAAATATTCATCAGAGTCCTTGTCATTTTTTGAAAGATGAAAATTGCCTAGTGGTGACCACAGTGGTGCAAAATGATTAATTACAGAAGAAGGTTATTATATGCAGAGCTATTTATAAAGTCAAATGCGTCATTTTTACCTATTTTTTAATTTAAAGCATCATGAATCATTAATAGTCTAAGCACAAAAGAAGATGAGAACAACTCATACTATTTTTCATTGTAACTTTTATGGTTGAATATTCACAGGGAAGCCTGCAAGATGACCTGGTCAGTGAAATAAAACAGATCGACTACACCTCACCTGTAACAAAAATCAATGGTAACGTTTGAAATCCTTTAACGATTTTATTATCTTATTTTACAGTTTTTAATTTTCTTTTTTTCTGTACAAAATCCACAAGCCACTCAAGTACAGGGTTACAGAGTAAGAAGTAATGGGTACAGTTTATGAGGATATGTAGAGAAGATAAAAGTTAATCCTAGATTTGAACGGGTTAAGATTGTCATGATCGAGGAAGCATCCTCTTGGGAGTTGATTCCACAAAGTAGTTGTTTGTAGGAAAAAGCTGCCCAAGTGAAACTTACATCTCACCAATGGAATACAAAGGAAATGAAGTTGGTTTGTTACAATGTGTTTGGCATGGCGAGTTTTAGCTGTGAAGGTTAGAACTGGTGAAAATAAGGCATGTGAACACTTTCCAAGGAAATAGTGATAGAATAGTGAGAGGCTTGAAATGTTTTGACTGTGAGGAAAGAGATTGTAGGTTGGAATAGTTTAGATTCTCCTTTCCACTAATCAAGAGAGAGAAAAAACAAGTCCTTTTATCTATTTATATTATTTACATTTAGCCCATCATCCTCTTCTTTTTGTTATTATCACAATGTTTCGGCTGTTGCACCCTCTGGCCTTTTTCAGATGCTTATTGATCTTGGTAACCATCAAGGAATTTCAAACTCAATTCTTTATTTAATCTAAAGGGTTTATATTTTATTGTCTATGTCTGGGGATATCTTGTCTTGTTCTTTTTAGTACTGCTCAGTTTTTGCTCATCCTGTTTCCTATGAGTTTAAGTTTACACAATTGAGAGGACACTGGCCAAAATGTTGTGGGCAAATATGGATATTCATGCCTGCAGTAAGATGTAGTGTCAAAAGGATGGGTTTTTAACTACCTTCACTCTTTGGCAATGTTTATTGTTTTAAAAAGCGATGATTAGAATTGGAATAAAATCTAAATATATGATAAAAATTAATTTATACATTTTTTTAAGGAAAGGATTGTCCACATTGACGCGATGATCTCAACTACGGTCAAGGTACCTTATACAGTGGCAAGCAGAAGAAATAATTCATATGCCTCTACCATCAAAAAAAAAAAAAAATCAATTTGCTTAGAAAGGAGATCATTTTTAATATTTTTATTTTCATGGAGGCTTGCCAGGAAATTGATGCATATAAAAACGTTTATGCCAGAGTGTGTCCACTCTTGACTAGAAGAGTTTTTAAATACCAGAGTAAAAAAACTTTGAACATTTGATGGATTGGCATGCTTATTATAGATATGTTATTCATATATGCATTATATATGTTCCAAATATTATACCAAGTATTATATAATACCATGTATCATACCAAATATCATATTTATATTTGTTAAGATCATATATTAAGATTGATGGTATTGATATGTTTATTATTGATATGTTTGTATAAGCAATGCAATATGTTTTGTGTTCACGTTTTGTTTTTCATGACTGCATATCTACCTTTGTACACCCCCTGTATATTTAGAGACATTACAAATTCTGATCAATATTTAGTATGGCTTCCATTGGTGTGAACTACAATTTGATTTTTTGGTAAGATGGATCAATTCTTCTGAATGCAATTTTATTTGTAGATGCATAAATTTGCCTAATTTTTACTAAGAAGTTTTATATATTTGACAATACAAGGCTCAAGAGCTGCTCAATGCAGAACATTACTAAATTGTTGTATGGACATAAGAGAAGGCAGTAAGTACAGATTATGAGGATATGTAAGATAGATAACAGCTGACCTTAGACTTGAAGAGAAGAATGTATTGATCAGGGAAGCATTGTCTCGAAGAGTCTGTTCCACAAAGTAGCAGTTTGAGAGTCTTTTAAGTGGAACTTCCTTCTAACCAAAGGAATATGAAAGGAATGAGGATGATTCAAGCCTGTGTATGTGACATAGCAGTTCCTAAATATCTGAATTAATGGAAGTAAGGAATGTAGCTTGTTTGACCATTTTCCATGGAAATAATGATAGAGTAACGTAAAGCTTGAAATGTTTTGTCTGCAGTTAAAGGAACTATAGGGTTGAAAATAATTCACTGCCCACAAGACTGCATAAACAATTTTAAATTTTGTCAAGGCTGGTAAGTGAGGGTTGAGCAGCTCCAGCCAAAATATAGCAGAAATACTCCATTTTTGGTCTGATATGGTATGCAAAAATTAGCCACTCAAAAATCATAGAATTAAATGCTTTTATTGCTGGGTGAAAAAGTAAAATTGCATTAAAAAAAAAGATATATTTATATATTTTGTGACATTAGAAGTTGTCACCAGTATTTAATATGACTCCTATTGGTATGAATTACAGTATGACTTTTTTGGTAAGGTGGATCAGTTCTTCTGCCTGCCACTGTATATATAGGAGCATTAATAAACCTGCAGCTTAGTGATGAAAAATTAATTTATTTTACACAGTAAATATATTTATTTTGCTACATGATCTCCTTCCTTGTCAATGCACTTAATTCAGTGGTGAATATTAATCACAAAGATTGAACATGAAACAGCGAAAATTTTCAGATCATCTAATAACTATATGTCAGGCTACAAATATTCCACTCCAGGTAGGTCTTGTGACCTGTCAGTCCAGAAGCATAATTGATTGAGTTGGTTTTTTTTATGGTTTATCAACCCTTTGTAGGTTATTCAAAAGCAAGAAACATTTTTAGATTGTAAGAATATTTTTTGTAGATGATAATGATTTAGTGATACAAGTTTTACTAATTAACCCATGACTGGGGGAGAAGAGGTGGATTTATACCCTTCCCAATGGTGTTTGTGTGTAAGTTAATTGTTATGATATTGATTTGGGGTTAGTAGAGACAAATGCCAAATAACACGTAACAATAAAAAGGGTTTTAATAGGTTGGTAAAAAGGTACAGAAATCGCCTGAGTAGTCAATAACTAGCTCAGCTAAGAACTTCTCTGTCTATCTGTCTTCCCCATGTCAACTTACATGCCACTATTTAAAGTCTTTGTTCGCAGACAAGTTCATCTTCAAGAGGGGTGGTAGGTTTCTGACACAACATTAATATAATGAACCCAACAGGAATTGGAACTCAGCTCTCTGATTAACAATTCTGAGCCATTATCCATTACACTGTGGATCCAAGCTTACAGCACCTGGTATTTCTAAGCAGTCATCCATCTATGTGCTGACCAGCTTAACTTGGTGATCATACAGGAACCAGTGTTTCAGTATGATGTTGCTGTAAACCCAGTCAAGAAGTACCTCCTCATATAGAGGTCTTCTGTTAATAGTGAAGATTTTATTCATTGCCAGCTTGCTAGACTTGTTGCATAGCTTACAGCACTTAGTTTTTTCCAGTGGCCACCTATCCAACATTGCTTAACTTTGGTGATCAGGTAAAATATATACATATATACAATATTCATATATACAAATTAGTATTTACTTATTAAAAACCATTGTGGCATACTCATAGATATTCAGTCCAGATTAAGGGTGAGAAGGAGTGAAAGACATTAGGACATTGTCCAAAGTGGAATAGACTTTTTATTTTTTTTTTAATCAAATCCACCCCAAGCAAGGCAGTAAAACCACTAAGGCACAAGGGGTTACTGAGTGAAAAAGAATTAGAAATCAAAAACATTATTAAACAATATTAAAGAATGAGGACAATAGAAGAGGAATCAAGAAAACAGTAGATAACAATTGACATTGCTTGTAAATTTTTGAAAGTCAAAATTGCCTGGAAAGCATAGAATCAGAAGAATGTTATGCAAATGAGAAGTGCAAGTAAAAAAACCATTAGCATAGAATTTATGGTTACATCTAGCCAATTCAACTGCAAATTGATGTGACCTTTCTACCAATCTAGTATTGCATTTAAATTCATAAATACTAATGAAGAGCATCCATCGATATTTCTGAGATGAGGTATTATGTACATTATTTAAATAAATCAGACTATTGTCCTCATCTTTGTCACCATATTTCCTCAAGGACACATGGCACAGTGGATAAAGGCATTAGTTAGATCCAGGCCACAAAGAGTGTGAGTTCAATACCCGGTTAAGGCAGTGGAGAACTTGGAAAAGGGAATTAACAGGAGATAACTGATAACTGACATCCATTAGACATGGCATGTGGAACTAGAACAGTCTACCCCAGTGAACGAAATAAAGGATTCAGTTCGACATTCCAACCACCTGAAGAAGGCCGGAGCGTACAACAGCTGAAACGTTGTAATAAATATGGCGACAAAGATGAGGACAATAGTCCAAATAATGTAAATAATGTAATGAAGAGCATATCCAAACAACTACCATGAAAGTATTTATAGAAAAGGCACATAGAAGCAATTTTATAGTGGTGGGAAAGTGACTGAAGCTGAAACACCAGGTAATATTGCTGATTCTTCTTTAGATTTTATCATCTCTAAATATATAGCAGAAGCACTGGACCATATATGGCAGCAATATTCTAATCATGATCAAATGGTCGACTAACAGATATGTAAGAAAGATTCTGGAGAAAAAATTGTCTAGCATGACACAACCAATTTTCTTAACATCTGACATAGCCATGGATTCAATATAGTCTTTCCACTTCATGTTAGTGGAAAATGTTAGCCCGAAAAGTCAGAATGTGTCATTCTCCTGAAGGTTAACATCAGCCATACTGATGGAAGGCAGAAAGGGGTCTCTCAGATTAATAGAAAGCAGTTTTGTTTTGGAGGTGTTCAAATTAACAAGCCATTCTTTGTCCCAGTTAACAATAGATTGTAGGTCATTTTTGAGACCAGCTGCCAATTTGACCTCATCGAACTGATCAAACTATCAAGACAGAACTAAATGATTGTGCCAGCAGCATTTAAAAATTTGAACCCATTTTACATCTGTTGGGTCTTTTATTGTTTACCAATTTGCTGTGATGTCATCTTTCAGATTATTTCCCATGTCTGGATTCTTTTTTCTTTTTGCATCGTAGTCCCATGACTGTTTTCTACACTCAGATATTTACGTTTTCTCATTATAAACACTCTACTGAAGTATTTAGTTTCATAACAAAAGTGGATCTGGTGCAATTTTATGCACAAAACAGAAAAGAATTTGACCTTGTAGCAAAACAATTAGTCATATGTAAGCCATACAATGATTTTATGAAATTTTTAATGAAATGTCTGTCTTAAGCAGACTAAACTCATTTTGAGCAAGTAGTTCAAGCATTTCATTAAAAACTGTATGATTGTTTGTGTAACTTGGTTAAAAAATAAGCAAAATGATATTTAGACTTGTGTAAATTAATATATTGTAATGGAATTGTTTGTAGACAATACTTATCACTTATCAGTAAGCTTTAATATACTTGGTATTTATCTGAGCTTCCCACAAGGCAGGATGTGACACAAGGCTGGTTTTTAATGTGGGGCTTTCTGAGTGCATATACTTGGGCAAAAATTCCTCATAGACTACACATACACAGGGTCGGGTGGCTGTCTACTTTTTCCAGACAAGACTCTGCCTGTAGGCATAGCTTTGTCTGAGTTCTTCTCTACCCAAATGCAGAGAGTCCAACAAGCTGAGCTTTAATATACTCTGTATTTACCCAAGCTCCCGACAAAGTGGAATGTGGCACAAGGCCTGTTTAATGTGGGGTTTTCCCAGAATATATGCTTTGGCAAAAATTCCCTGTAGACCCAACATACATGGGGTTGGATGTCTGTCTGCTGCCCCAGATGTGACATTGCCCATAGGCATAGCTTCATCTGACTTCCTCACTGCCTAAAGGCAGAGAGGCCAACAAACAGAGTATTGGCATATCAATAGAGTTCTCCTGAATGTGTGTTCAGGACAGATCCATTAATGGGGGTGATGGATCATACTATATATACAATATGTGTTTATTAGTAAATCATGCACAGTATATTGGTTTAAAAGTATAAAGTTCATATGGAAATACTGAATGTAATACCTTCTTTATTTTGACCCACAATATCAAAAATAAATATTGTTGGTATGATAGTAAAGGTTAGATTTTCCTACCAATAAATGATAATCATTTTCACTAAAGTAACAGCAGCAGTTTCGAAAATGGCATCTGACTTTGTATATAAAACAGAGATGTATTATTGAATTCTTAAATGCAAAAAATATAGTAGCCATTGATATTCAGCAATACTGGCTAAACATTTCTGGAAACCATACAGTGAATGTGAGCATAGGTAGCATTATAGCAGTGGTGATAGTAATTTTTTGTTATAAGACACCTTTGTGAGGCTCATGTTCATGGCTGCACATGGAAATGCAGCAACTAATGGTGATAAAATATGTGGAAAAATAGTGTTTTGTCATTGAAAGCTTATTCCACCAAATGGTGTCTCTGTGGAAATAAATAAAAGCCATTACTTTCTGTTATTTTTTCATAGCTTTGAGGGACTACATTTCGTATTTATATAATCTTTTTATACAAAATGCTTGTGGACATTTCTAATTTTGTTGGAATTTGAAATTTAAAATTTACTTATGAAAAGGTGATTAACTAGAATCATAAACAGCTGTAAAAATATTTGACCTGGAAAAAATTTGATTTGTTCTCAGTGTTATGCAAGTGGTGATTTTCTCTCTTGTTTTATTTATATAAATACATATTTTCTCATTGCTATCAATATTATATTTAGTAGGTACATGTGGTTGAGTTAATGTCTTTTTAAACAGTAAAGTTAATGCCAACTAGCCTAGATATCAAGAAGTCCCACTAAAGAAACCATTGAACCTATATTCCCTTTTTCCATCATGGAAACCACTTTTTACATGACCAATTAGCCTAAAGAAAACAATCATGGTAAAATAAGATTCAGTTACCTATTTAAGATACTGGCTTCATCATGATGGTTTCTCTTGGCCTAATTTGTTGAGCACATTTTGACTCAAAAAGTAGTTTCCCTGATGATAAAAGGGAGTACATGTTTGATTCAGGAGGCTCAATTTTTGGCAATGTTTAACCTTTGTGCCTGTAAAATATGTTGTATCAAAAGGAAAATTACTCCTTTGACACTGTTATTATTGTATAAACTTTTGACTCCCTCAGCAAAGTTTATTGTTTTAAAAAGTGATGATTAGAATTTTAATAAAATCCAAATATACAACAGTGGATTTTTACATTTTCTTTGCTCTTGAGAATTAAGGACAAAGGTATTAAACACTATGTATTTATTAGATTGCTTATTTACAAGAATAATTTTATATTTACAAGGTTATAAAAATATGAAATATTTATTATTTACCATTTTATAAATAAATAAATATGAAAAAATTTTTATTCCTAAATTTATAAAAATCTATGTGAATAAATTTTTTTTAAAATAAACACATAATGACAAGTAACTGT